TTTAAGGATTTTAAACAAAAGGATGAAATAATCTGATTTATTTGTTAGAAAGATTACTTTGCTGAGTGGAGAATGGATTAGAGAGGGTACAAAGGTATGTACTGGAAATCAAGGTAGAAAATTCTTGCTGTAGTCTAGGTATAAAATGATGGTGTCTTGACTAGGATGTTTCGGCAGAGATGAAAGACGTGGATAGATTAATGTTTAAAAACGGGGACATTTTACTTACATAATTCTTTTATTTCTGACTTTAAACATAAATTTGAGTTTTAAAATGTCTTGAGTAATTAACCTGTTTTGTATTGTCTATTGTCTTATAAAACTTTTCCATTTGTGCATCCATCCATTCAACAAGTATTTACTATTTGAAATGTATATGGTAAATAGTCTATGAAAATAGCCTATGAAATGCCAGGTACTCTGCTAAATATAGGGCATTCATAGATAAATTAGACATTGTTCTTGCCCTCCAGTTCAGTTTCTGTATAAACGTATTACCTATATGATTATGTGCTATGGAGTAGATGCTGTGAAAACCCAGATGGGGCACTTAATCCATGTTGTGGGTTAGAGGCTTTAGGAGAGGTGCAGTCTGCTTGCTGAATGGCAGCCTGATAGGCTGAAGAATCACTTAGTCCATTGTACCTTCTAAAATCTCCCTTCTATAACCTGTTATACCTTTTTCTAGACCCCCTCTCATACCAAATAAAAAAGAAAAAGGCAAAAATAAAAACAAACAAAAAAACTGCAAAAAAGGGTCACTTTCACATAGTAAACATTGCCATCTTGTGGTCTTATTAGAAACTTTTCATTCCTTTTATGCTATGGTTTGTGCAGAACTGCAGTTTACTGTAAACTGCACTTGGGAAACAATGTATTTCACAGCATTTTTACCTTTGTGTCATATTAAGTTTTATTTATTTATCCACTTTATGCCATTGATACAAATGGCAGTCAGGAATAAAGTGTACATTATTCTGTGTGCATCCTCTATTAGAACACATATCTCTTTCATTAGACTGTAAGCTTTTCAAGTCACTGGTGATTCTTTTTGGCCAATTTGTTGAGCATATTTTAGTCCTTATTTTACCAGATCTCTTTGCATTTAATATATCACTCTTCAAACTCTCTGTTTTATAATATCATCACTCTCCACATATTAATGGCACATAGGAAGTGCTCCGTGAATATCTATTGAGAAAGTGGCATGAATCAAATTAAAATGTGAATGTTTTAAAACCTATACCATTGGTTCCAGGACTGCCCTAGATAACTGTAAAGTTATCATAGTGGTCCAAATGAACCCCAAAGGACCTTTGTCCAGATTTAAATGAGACTTTATCCGAATTCTCAGGTAGAGGCGCTTTTGATTCTTTTAGCACATATATATGACTAATCTTTTAAACTAAAAAATAATAAAGCCTTATTTATTCAAGTTCCACTTTGTAGTTTTGTAATCCTAATGGCAGGATCTTGGCTGAATCTTAGTTGTTTACTCATACTAAGTAGCATACTAGTATAAACTAAATTGCCTGGTGAATATTAATACAACTTGTGGAAAGTATGATTTAGAATCTGGGGAATAAATATCTTCTAAAAATGATATCATTCCCTTATGATAAGCTTCAGGCAGATAGTAGTACAGTTTATGAAGGGAATCTCGACTGCTTAATATTTAACGACTGAACATCTCAATTGCTCAATTTGAAACTGGTTTTTTACCCCTCTATATCATAACATCACCTCTCAGCTTATGACCTCCATTGACTTTACATCTTCCCCTGAGAGGGGTAGGGAAAAGATGAGCTATATTTTTTGCCAACTCTGTTTCTTTATTGATGCCTCATTCCTGAACACACTGCAATCTGGATTTTGCCTCAGCTAGTAAAGCTTCTCCAAACATATCACTATGACTTCTGTTTACCAAATTATTGAACATTTTCTAGTTCTTCTTTTATCACACCTATGTGCATGATATCACTCTCTTGAAACTCTTGTTACCTTGGTTTTCTCGACACCATCCTTTCCTGATTTTCCTTATCCCGTTCCTTCAGTTTCCTTCCTGGTCTACCACCTATCTCTTTAATATCAATCCTACTCATGATTCCATCTTTAATCCACTTTTCTTAGACCCACTTTTCTTGTGTGTGCCTCAGAATTCAGACATTTCAACTTGGGTGACCCATAGATATCTGACCCCCCCAAGCTGAACATCTTCCTTAGATCTCTTAACTTTTCCACATCTGCTGCTTCAGTTGGTAGCACCACCATCTGTCCAGTCTCCCAAGTTTACAACCTAAGAGCTGCCCTATCTGTTTTGGTAGCCACAGATCATAAGTGACCATTTGAATTCAGATTAATTAGCTAAAATTAAATATAATTAAAAATTAATTTCCACAGCTGCACTAGCCACACTTCAAGCGCTCGATAGCCATGTGTGACTAATGGATACTGTTTTGCATGGCACAAATAGAGAGCATGCCCATCACCACAGAAAGTTCTGTTGGATAGCGCTACCTTAGAGTCTTTCTTGATTCTTCTCGTTTTTACTTTCCAAGTTGCATGAGTCAGTAACAGTTATTAAATATTCCCTGTACTCGGTCCCTTCCTACTCTTGGAGTTTGTCAGCTCCACCTGCCTAAACTGCTGCAAAAGCTCCCAACTGTCTCTACTAATTTGTAAAGGACACAAAAGTTAACAAAGGGATTTTCTACTTGAGTCAATAGTCTAGTGAAAGAGGACCCATTTTGAGTTGGTGACATTATTTTTCTCATAAGAATCTCCATTTATGTAGCTGAAACATACGTTGTCTTGTTTAATAGTTTCTCTTGATTGAATAGACCTTTTTAAGAAGGTAGACTAAAATATTTTAAAAATGTAATAAGGGGCTCAAACAAGTTTAAGTATCTTAATTACTTTTTTAAAATAATTTTGACTTTTTAAAAATTTAAACATCATGAAATTTTACCACTAAAAATACTGATGCTGAACAAATGGGAAATTTGTTTCTGTGTTTAAATAATATGCATTTTAATCTTTATTACAAACAGTATTATTACAAACAAATGTGTATTGATCACCTCCTTTGAAAAAGTAACACCCAGCGCAGTAATATAAATGCTTTACCAACAGTCTGAAGTTGTATAGGGGAAAAGACAGCCATTGGGAAGATATTTTAAGTCATTTGGGCTATCTTGTCAAAATGACCTGGAACTGTGCTTGACCAACTGTGTCAGTGTTCTTTCCTCTGCTTTACAAATCTAAAGAATTTCAGCATGCCACGTTAATCTTTTTAAAATGAGTTTTTGACTATATACTATTGCTTTATTGGTTGTATTTTCAATGAAGGAAACATTTTATTTGAATTCTTATTTTAAGCTTCTAGGAGCCAATGGAAATGTAAACATCAATTCGAAACTTCGCTTGCAGCTGTATTACCCACCCACAAAGCCTCGATCCCAATCAAATGTCGTTGAGGTTTTTGAGTGGTGGTTAAAATGCCCAAGAAATCGTTATCCATCAACGTTGTATGTAACTGTAAGAGGATTAAAAGTTCCAGAATGTGTAAGTTAATGGCACATGCAAAATATATATCTTCCATTGTTGAGATTAAATGGTGACATGTTTCTATTTCTAAAAAGGTGAAGTCTTTAGAATTATTTTAATAGACTTCTGAAATAGAAAGGGACCTTCAGAGATTATATATTAAGCCCGTAATAGCTGATACTTAAAAGATACTTAAATGAATTTTAAGTACTAAGTATAGATTTCAGTTTTAGGAAAAAAAAATATTTTTTTAATAATACTGATCCTTAAAAATTAAAGATAAGAGAATGATTTAAAGTGGGAGTTGACAAATATTTTCCATAAAGGACCAGACCGTAAATAGTTTAGGCTTTGTAGGCTATACAGTCTCTGTTGCAGCCACTCAACCTTGCCTTTATAACGTGAAAGTAGCTACATAGACATATGTAGGTGATAACTAAACAAATGGGTTTGGATGTGTTCAAATAAAACTTTATTTACAAAAACATCATCAGGCTACATTTGGCCCAGACCATAGCTTGCAGACCCATGAATTACAGGCACATTTTTTTACAATATTATTCAAATAATCAATAAGTAATATTTCTACTTCTGTTTCACATGGGTTAAAATTATGAATATCTTAGCGAAGCATTTGTCCTAAAATGAGGTGAAACTTTTGCTTTTGTCTCATTGCTATAAGACATTTCAGGCCAGTTGCATATTCTGTAGTTGATATTATAAAATGTGACCATAGGGTTGGTTTCATTGGTTTGAGTGTAGTTAAACCTATTTTAAGAAATGGAGGATTTAAAAATCCTTAGATCTTTATGTTATCAGTTTCATGATCCTAAAGCCAGAGATACCATAGTACAGTGTCAGAGCCATAATATAACATCTGGTAGGTATTGGTGAAGAGGCAGAAACAAAGGGACAGAGTTACTCAAACTATTTTATGTAACTATTGGAGTTCTGTTTTATTCCTTCCCCCTTTTAAGGCTTTTGGGTTTAGGACTGTAATTTCAAGCAACCTTTATTTTATTTAGAATAGTGTACAAATAAAAGTAGAATTTTTTTCTGGATTACATTTTGAAAACATTTTCATATTATAATGTTTGTTTCAATATTTTAAAAACCATATATGCTAGAAAAGAGAAAAAGATTAACGTGATATATACATTTTCTCATTTTCTATACATATTTAGATAAAGCCATCTTACCGTTCTATGATGGCTCTTCAGGAAGAAAAGGGTAAACCATTGTATTGTGAACAACACCATGAGGCACGTTCAGTAGACACAGAACCTGGATTAGAAGATTCAAAGGAAGTGGTGAAGTGGAAACGACTGCCTGGGCAGGTGAAGTGGTCTCTGACACTGGATTCATTTAGATATTTACTCATTTACCTTAAAAACGCCAACAGCTCCTATGGTCACTGGCTTCCTACTTAAAACTCCCAGATTATCCTTGTTTTTAACCATGATCTTGTCTTTCTATTCATTCATTTGGTAAATAATAATAGAGTGCCTATCATGTGCATGAAGACACTATCTTAAGTTCTTTAGTGACCTGGGGAGTTTTATTAGTTTGTCAGAGCTGCCATAAAAATATATCACAGACTGGGCCTCTTAAACAACAGAAATTTACTTTCTCATAATTCTGGAGGCTGGAAGTCCCAAGATTAAGGGTGGGCAGCGTTGATTTACTCTGAGGCCTTTCTCATTGGCTGGCAGGTAGCTGCCATCTTGCTGCTGCTTCATGGTCTTTTCTCTGTGTGCGTGCATCACTGGTGTCTCTTCTTATTATTATCAGATTAGGGCTGTACCCTAGCAACCTCATTTTAACTTAATCAGCTCTTTAAAGACCTTATATCCAAATACTGTTACATTCTGAGGTACTGGGGTTAGGGTTTCAACATATGAATTTGGAGGGACACAGTTCAGCCCGTAAATCTACAATTTGTGGATTCGTGAACTTTTTTATAGCTCCTGGCTTCTTCCTGAGTCACATTTTGATAGAGATAGGTATATGTATATATCTTTACCACAAGTTGAGCTGTATTTAAGCTTTTTCTAAAGTTCTCTTACTTGGTTAGCGTATTTTGTAGTGGCAAGAAGCATTACTGATAAAGTTTTGCAAATCTCTTGTTTCCATAAAGAGTGGAGTGGTTCATTTTATATACTCAGTATATACAAAGAATGACTGTTTTCCTAGACCTGTTCACATTTTGTTTTGCATGATATCTGACTTTCTTTCTGAGGCTCATTTTACAGATACATCTTAAAATCAATTTTAAATAGTTCAGACATAATAATATGGAGAGAATAATACTTAGACTGTGGCCTTGGGGACCTTTCACGTCAGTTGGGGACACGGGAAGTGGTTACAGTGTTGTTCACTGTCAGGTTTGCTGCAAAGAAGTCTTGAGGAAATATAGCTATAAAAATAATTGTTTAGATCAGTAGTTCTCAAAGTGTGATTTGGGGACTGCTGGGAGTCCTGAGATACTTTCAAGGGGTCTGTTGAAGTCAGTCTATTTTCATAATAAGATCATAATGATTCTAATGATTCCATAATGATTTAGTTTTTCTTTTTGACTTTCATTCTCTCACAAGTATACACTGGAGTTTTCCAGAGACTAAATGATACATGATATCACAAGAGGGTGAATGCAGAAGCAATTATGAAATTCCAGCTATCTTTTATTAAGCCAGATGTTAAAAAAATTTTCAAAAATATAGAACAATTCCACTTTATGTAGTTATTTTTCATAAAAAGAAATTATTTATGTTAACATTTAATAGGCTTGCTCTGTTGTTTTTAAAATGATTAACAAATATTTTAAAAATTTCTCAATTTTAATTTCTAATATAATAAATATCTGTTTATATAGCCACATAAACAAAAGCTTTTTGGAGTCCTCAAAATTTTTTTAAGACTGTAAAGCACCCTGAAACTAAACCAGTTTGAGAATTGCAGCTATGTAGAAGGTGATCTGGAGTGGTGGAAGAAGGGTTCATTCAACAGGTTGGTGGAACTTGAGGTAGACTTTAAAGCATGGCAAAGTTAGGAGTGGATGAAGAGGACAGGGAGGAGTATTTCATATTGTGGCAATGTTGTAAATAAATGGGAAAGCACCTGCTGTATTCCTCAGGCACTCAAAACTTGGCTGGCTGGAAACCCAAGTTTGTATAAGAGGCAAAAGTGGTGTGATAGATTAGGCCCACATTGTGGAGTGGCTCAGATGGTAGGTAGCCTAATATTTGATTGTGTGGGATTGAGAGATAATGGGAGGTTTCAGGTAGGGAGGAAGCACGATAACAGTTGTATTTTAGGACAGATTAATGCTGGCGATGGCAGGTAGATCTTGAGGTAGGATACATCAGAATGAGAGAAAGGTAGCCGTTGCAGTCATTGATGTGTGAGGTGAGAAGGGTCCCACCTTGGGGTATTGGTGGCAAGAGTGAGAAGTAAGAGGTAAATACAAAAGGAAAGACCTAGTGTGAGTTAGTGACTGACAAGGTAGTGATGAAGGGGAAAGAGTTGAAAATGTTGAGGATCTTTATTGCTGCTATTAAACGTTCATCAAGTGCCTCTTCTGCGTACAGTGTCAAACTCTGGGAATACAAAGGAAATGATGGTGCCGTTAGTATTTTGGCTTAAGTGATGAGGCACAGAGTTTTCCTTAACTACGTCTCCTCCTCTAAGAGCAGCAGCAAGTGGTTATGAAACTTCCTAACTTTTCCTTCAATTTTTGTCTTCTTTTTATCCCCCTTTCCCTTTTCTATATCATCCCAATAGAGAATGGAGGGAAAATGGTGTCTGGTACATTATTGGCACCTAATAAATGTCTGTTGAATTTTTCGCCTTTCTAGTAGCTGCTCATAATGCTGCCTCTTCATAATGCTGCTAAATCTTGATGCTACTTGTGAAAAACCTGGCACCAATCTAGAAGGCGGGCCCTTGAACCAGTAGTCTTTGACTCGGCCCGTTAAGCTGGGCTTAACCCTCTGAATAATCCTTATTAGCTATATATAGTAATAATAATTACAGGTTTACTGTGATGAATATATAAAAAGGCATTTGTAATAAAGTGCCACATTCTTGGCATATAGTAAGGGCTCAATATATGTTCAGTTGAACTTTTTGAATAATAAGAAACACAGGAACTAAGGCTCACAAAAGTTTGAAAGAGAGAATTAGGACAAATAAAAGTAAGTAGTGGGCTTCCCTTGTGGCGCAGTGGTTGAGAGTCTGCATGCCGATGCAGGGGGCACGGGTTCATGGCCCGGTCCGGGGAGATCCCACATGCCGCAGAGCGGCTGGGCCCGTGAGCCATGACTGCTGAGCCTGCGCGTCCGGAGCCTGTGCTCCGCAACGGGAGAGGCCACAACACTGAGAGGCCCGCGTACCGCAAAAAAAAAAAAAAAAAAAGTAGTATTTTCTACAGCAGATAATAATTCACAGAAAGTTTTGGTTTCATCTGATAATAAGGAATGAAACATAAAAATTATGAAGGAATTTTAATAAAATTAGTGAATGAGAAATCAATAGGAGGTGATTGATTTACTTTGAAAATACATTTTGGAAGGCAGTACAAATAGTGGTTATTTTAAGAGAGAGAAAAAGAAAGAGAATGAATGTTCATACATCATGGACTTCAGCTAGGCCTATATGGCATTTATAGACTCAGAACAAGTTTATGGTTCAGCAAAAATCACTTATTAGTTGCTGTCATGAAATAAGAGTGTAACATACATTCATTTTTGTGGCTGTATAAAAATAATGTGGTAGTGACAGCTTTAGAGTATCAGATATTGAAATTTTCTATTCATATTTTGGGTGAATAGTGCTAGTTAGGCATGGAGTATAAATTCACTTAATTTTCTGGAGAATTGAAAGTGATTCTCTGCTTTGAAAGTAATTTACTATGGTTTTCCATCATTTGCTTACTTGCTTTCTTCTTCCTCTGCGTCACAGTAAAGGGACTTTTTAAAAAACCAGAAACTGCAACAGCTACAATAATTGAAGTTAACAGCTAGCTTTCATATTTTCATGTTTCTTCATCTATATTAGTAAAATGTATGTTTTTCAGGCTTGCCGTATGCCAAACAAGCACCTCTTCTCACTAAATGCAGGAGAGCGAGGATGTTTTTGTCTTGCTTTCTCCCACAATGGAAGAATATTAGCAGCAGCCTGTGCCAGCCGGGATGGGTATCCGATTATCTGTGAGTAATGATCCTTCTGTTTAAGCTGATTGTAGTCTATACGCAGGATGAGTTTTGGTTTTTAAAATTCATTGAAATCTTAATTTGAGTCATCCACCAGTACTACTAAATTAAAATAGATTTCCTCAAGTAAAGTAACAATTCTTTTATAATAATTTTGCACTTTGCTATACAATGTAGGTCCAGAAATAGAATGAAAATGATCAAATGAAGGAAGATAAATTTATTTTTAAAACATTCAGGAGGTATTTTTTTAAGCATTTTCTACTTTAAATATAGAAATTTTGCAACATGAAGGATTAATAAATCTCTTGAGGAATTTTAATCCAATTTTAGTCAGTTGATAGTAGTGATAATTTGATTATGAAAGCCCTCAAATTTGTTATGTGCAACTAAGACCTGGCACAGCCAAATAAATAAATATTTTTTAAAAAGAAAGAAAGAAAAACTTGAATTTAGATATACTTACTGCTTAAATCTCATAAAACAAAAGAATCTTTGTCATTGTTTTTTGATTATGGTGTGTCTACTAGGAATTCATTTAGCTTCTAGGATGTGCAGATTGATGTTTTTCACAAGTTTGGGAAGTTTTTCATCTTTATTTCTTTGAATGTTCTTTCTACCCCTTTCTATTTCTTCTCTTCTTCTGGAACTCCCATCATTTCTATATTGGTACACTTGATGGCGTCCTACAGGTCTCTGCACCTTTATTCATTTTCCTTCATTTTTTTTCTTTCTGCCCCTCTGACTGCATAATCTCAATTGACCTGTCTTCAAGTTTACTGACTATTCTGACAGTTCATATCTGCTGTTGAGCCCCTCTAGTGAATTGTTTATTTCAGTTATTGTACTTTTCAACTCTAGAATTTCCGTTTGGTCCTTTTTTATATTCTCTATTAATTGCTAAGAAATAATTCTCACACCTTCGTTCTTTAGATGTGGTTTTCTTTATATCTTTGAACATGTTTACACAAGTGAATTTAAAGTTTTTATCTAGGAAACCAGTGTCATGGACAGTTTCTGCTGACTGCTTTTTTTCCTGTGTGTGGCCATACTTTACTATTTTGGGGTTTTTTTAGGGGTATGTCTCCCTAGAAAATTAGGTATTTTAAATATTACAATGTGGCAACTCTGGAAATCAGATTCCCCTCTTTACCCCCCCTCCATCTGTCCACCTGGGATTTGTTGTTGTTGTTGTTTGTTTAGTGATGTTCCTGGACTAATTCTGTGGTCGTTATCCTTTGTCAGGTTTTACCCCTGGAGTCGTTGCTTGGTTAGCTTAGTGGTCCACTAGTGGTTAGAGAGGGATTTTTAAATGCCTGAGTGAATGGGTCTCCCAGCCTGTGCCGAAGTGCCGTGTGTGTGTGTGTGTGTGTGTGTGTGTGTGTGTGTGTGTGTGTTTCCAATTCTAAAGTAGGGAGTTTACAACTTTGCCTTAGCCTTTACTTGCACAGCCCTCAGGGCAGTCACAGTAAGAGACAGGGCCTTTCAGGTCTTTCTTGCACAGTATATACACAGCCTTTCATGTGTACGTGTCCTTCTAGATTCCCCAGAATGTATTGGAGCTTTTCAAACTGCCCTATGAACATCTCATTCCCAGTTTTTCCTTTTGAATTTTTTTGTCAGCTTCTTCTTAGGCCCACCTGGTATCACTGTGTCAGATAGCCACACCACTGATTATTTCATGCACCCTAGAGTTTCAGCTCTTCACACAGATCATGCTCAGAGCCAGGTCAGATAAAGCCAAGCCCTGAAAATGGAGCCTTTCCGGGAGCTGCCAAGCTGTCCAGCAGTGATAAATCTTGGAGATGGGGCTTTGGAGATCTTCAGTCCTCTTCTGCCCCATCCCATAGCTGCTAGGCTGCTGGTTTTCTTCGTAGTTTCAAGGCTGTTGGTTTTGAAGTCCACTTTGGAGCTTGGGAGAGGGGAATGGGAACAGGACAAATTAAAACACCGCAGAGCTCAGTGTTATTACCAAGATTCAGCTGTTTTCTTTAATAAATGCTCCTCAGATTTTTGCAAGCCTTTCATTTCCAGAGTTCTGAAAAAGTTAATTTTGACAATTTTTGCCAGTGTTCTCGTTGCTTTTATGGGGAAGCAGATTTTCCGAGGTCTTCATTTTGCTATTACAGAAGTTCTTGTGTACTGCTTGATAGTTTAAAGAGCAGTTGATTTTACCACTAGGTGGAAGTAGAGACTTGGAAAGTATTTTCTGTGTTAAGTTGTTATCTTAGATTTCATTGTATATATATATATATATATGTAACATAGCCATGCCACAATGCCTTGTTTCTCAGATTAAATCTCTGTCCATTCTCTCACAGTAGTGTCTATCATTTTTAGTATTAGAATTTTTTTCTCACAATAGCACAGTTTAAATTTCTCATTGCTTCGAATAGTTAAATTTTGGTTGGAATTTGATTGATTTTCAGATAAAATAATAACTTATTCATGAAAGACCAAATTACAGAATCTTTGAAGTGAATTGCAATTTAAAAGTTATTTGAGGGACTTCCCTGGTGGTCCAGTGGGTAAGACTCCACACTCCGAATGCAGCGGGCCTGGGCTCCATCCCTGGTCGGGGAGCTAGATCCCGCATGCATGCCACAACTAAGAGTTTGCATGCCGCAGCTGAGACCCGGCACAGCCTAAATAAATAAATAATTTTTTAAAGTTATTAGATTAATAAATTGATTATCAAAGATTATTAGGATTGCTTTGAAGAGATAAGAATAATTGTTAATTGTAGCCCATTATAAAATTTTCAGTATGTAAATTCTTGTGTCTAAAGCAAGTGAAAACTTACTTTTAAGTAGATTTTGACTTTTTTTTTTTTTAACAAGATGTTGGGGGTAGGAGTTTATCAATTTATTTATTTATTTTTGCTGTGTTGGGTCTTCGTTTCTGTGTGAGGGCTTTCTCTAGTTGTGGCAAGCGGAGGCCACTCTTCATTGCTGTGCGCGGGCCTCTCACTATCGTGGCGTCTCTTGTTGCAGAGCATAGGCTCCAGACGCGCAGGCTCAGTAGTTGTGGCTCATGGGCCTAGTTGCTCCACGGCATGTGAGATTCTCCCCGACCAGGGCTCAAACCCGTGTCCCGTGCATTAGCAGGCAGATTCTCAACCACTGCGCCACCAGGGAAGCCCTAGACTTTGAAATTTTTTAATACTGAAAATGTCTTTGGTGATAATGTTCTTATAGACAGTGCTTACCTGGTATACAAATTATTATAAATTATGAATTTTTATGTTATTCGGTTAAGAATCCTCTATCTGGAAACATACTAATTTTTGAATATTTTCATTAGTATATGAAATTCCTTCTGGACGTTTCATGAGAGAATTGTGTGGCCACCTCAATATCATTTATGATCTTTGCTGGTCAAAAGATGATCGCTATATCCTTACTGCATCATCTGATGGCACTGCCAGGTCAGTATCCTTGAGAAGTACTCGCTGTGTATGCTGCTTGCCCTCAAAGAAAGCAGAGCGAATGAATATAAAGTGATATAACTACTCTTATGCTTCAGTGATGTTTTGCTTATCAAGGAACCGTCATAAACATGCATCATACAGACTCACTGATTAAATAAGAAGTAATGAAAACGTTTTTCCTAAAGGCATTCTGTTAAATATATTTCGTTTATGTAATATATAATGTTTCTAGTCCTCACTGTCTTTAAATGATCATTTTATACACTCTTTGATTAATATTTTGAGATGAAGTTCTTAAACAACTGAGATTTTTCCTGGAATATAAACTCTTGATGGCAGGGATTCCGCCTCCACTGTTAGCTGGATGCAGAGGCCAGGACATGGTGCTGCTCAATGCACAGTGTAGGGTCAGTAAACGAATATGCACCTTATGTTTTAAGAGCTTAATAGATTGTCAACTATTTGCATTGTTCAAAATGTCAGTTTTGGAAATAATTTAGCCCCTTCCAATTTAATAAGTATCACAATAAAATATTTTAAAAGTTACTTTTTTAATCTGTTACATTTATTTCCTACCTCTGTTGTCTCTTTAGTATCTTCCTCTTTTGATTTTTTCCTCTCATCTTAGAAGTATGTTCAAATCTCCTTATCTTAAGGAAATCTTTCTCTAAACTCCTCCTGCCTTTCAGGCTACCACATTATTTTTCTTTCTACACCATCAAGAAGCATCCTATACACACTGTCTTTACTTTCCCCCAGTTAGTCTGGCTTTCACTTCCAGCGTGCTATATAAACTTCCTTTGAGAGAGCTGCAGTTTCTTACTAATTTTCAGATCCACTGGCTAGTTTTAGTCCTTACCCTGTTTGCCTTCACTGCAGTAATTCATTATTGACCAGTCTTGAAATATTTTCAAGTCATGGTTTTCATTGACAACCTCTTCTGTTTTCTTTTTATCAGTCTGACCAATTCTCATTCTCTTGTTCCTTTTCTTCTGCCTGTTCTCTGTAAATGCTTATCCCCAAGATCCTTTATTCGATGTCTTCTGTGGTTTGGTGTGCTTATCCTGGCCTCTCTCATCTCCTTGGCTTTGAATCTCACTTACATGCTAATGACTTGGAGCTCCTTCTCTTTTTCCGAATTCAACTTTGTATTACAGACTTCTGTCTGGATAGCCCAATGGCACCTCAGATCCATAACGGAAATCACCAAATTTTGTTTTCATTTTTTAGCCCTCATATAGTTTTTAATGGCATCCTTATCCACCCTGTCTCCCAAGCTGGGAACTCAGAGTAGTACTCATGTTTCTTTTCTACATACAGGTAGTTCTAAAGTATATTAATTCTGCCTCCTAAAAGCCTCACATTCTGTCACATTCTTTCTATCCTCACTGCTGTTGCCTTAATTCAAGTCCTTGTTATCTTTTGCTTAAACTGTTACTGCTAAGCTTTCCCAGTGTTCACCCTCTAGCTCCTCCATCCCTGCTATGCTAAAATTCTTTCCAAAACCATCTTTCATAATGTCTTGACTTTAAAAATCTTTGCGCTTTGGAAAATATTCCAGTTCCTTAGCGTGGCATGACAGGCATGACCCTCATTGACCTTCTGTCGTCCCTTGTGCACTTCCCATGTACCCTCTGCCTCACCCACACAATCTTTTGAAATACCTTTAGCATCTTATCTTCTTTGGCATCTCCATGTTACCTGTGGGATCTTCCTATGCTGACATGCCCTTCTCCTCCCGTTCCTGCCCAACTCATTCACTCAGCACACGTCTAAATGCCTTTTGTAAGCCAGGGTGCGCTCCTAGTCATCATTTAAAACCCAGCTCAGATTTTACCATTTCTTGAAGTCAACTTGGGTTTCCTCGCACAGCATATATTGTAGTAAAGGATATTTTTTTCTTTCTGTAGCTTGGAAGTTGATACTAATTTAGGACTCTTTACATCCTAAAAATACTGTTGTGAAGGATTAACTGAGTGAAGAGAGAAACACTGTGGCTAGAACAAAAAAGACAGTGAGGTTTTTGAAAGAGGTGAAGAATACTTACACTGAATGAGCTAAAGTCAAAAGGAAGAGAACCAGAGTTGCTAATGCTCAAAAGTGGCAGGAGTTCGGGCTTCTGCCCAGGTCTTCTGTTATCCTCTGGGGTCAACGTCACCTGTTATTGTTAGCGTCTCCTGAGTAACTGTTTTCCACTGGTTAGCTCTCTGCCAGATGGGCTTAACCTAAATCTCCATCTTTAGTTATCTTCAGTATAATTTGAGAACACTACAGATCAGCAGCTCCTAATATAATCAGAAAGACTTATCCATGAGAACACTACAGATCAGCAGCTCCTAATATAATCAGAAAGACTTATCCATGTGTAATGGCTCCCAGATAGACCCAGAAGACCCCACTCTGCTCTCTCTTCACACATACTGTTTTAACTTTGGAATGTCTTTTTTCTTTCCTAATTCTGATAATTTTTGTGTGTGTTCATCTGGTCTTTACAGATTTGTATATCACTGTTCTTCTCTGTCTACGGTCAATCTGATTTTTTTTCACAAACCCATTAATACATTTCTTTTGATCTTGGATTCTACCATTGCTTGGGTGATGAAAGCCATCATTGGTACCGATTCCGCTTTTATGTAAAAAGCTTCATTTTTATTTTAAGATATTGTGTCTGTTCTAATTATATTGAGCTGTTTTTAAGGTACAGTTGCTTCATTTCTTCTTGTTATATAGTATTTCAGATAATGCCGCTGAGATTTATTAGCAAGCCACTGAAGTTTTTATCTTTTAGCATTCTCCTTAATATTCCCTCCAAATTAGTGATTTTGTTCTTTCTATAAGTACTATATTTCATGTTACATGTGTTCATTGAAAGTATCACTGTGGTAAAAATGTTTATGCAGTGACACACATGCTTTACTTTTACTTGAAAACATGTTCTTTCACTTCCTTCATTTATTAGGTTGGATTCTTAGTAATTAAAGATCATATCCTGTATTTTAAGCAGCTGCTGAGAAAACTTACAGAATGTTATTCTTGAACAGCAACTGTATTTTTTATAGATAATTTTGAAAAAGACTTAATTTGCTTCAGTTCTTAGACAGTAATTAAAAGGATGAACTATAAATCCCCATATTAAAAAATTAATAAATTCTTCTAATTCTGATAACTTAAATTTTTAAAAATCGAGTGCTTCCCACTCACAAAGCACCTGTTTGTTCCTAGATTTTGCCTATTTTTGCATATTGGCTTGCAGAGTATCTAACATGATAGTTTAACTCTTAGAGTTTGCTCTTGTCAAGACTGTAGCAATAACAATATTAATTTCTTTTAAATCACCTATTATATAAAGGAAGAGATAACAAGAGTAATAAACATAAAGTGAGTGCTCGACGTTAGATAGCCTGTTTTCTATAAAATATTGTAATGATTTTAATGTTATTTTACTCAAGTATTTATATAGTAATTTCAATGTGCCTTCTAAGTCTTTGAAATGTTTATGTTCATTATCTATGCTTTGAAATTACAAATAGAAAGTTAATAGAGTACCCTATTCTCTAAACCCTCAACTGTAAGCACTTTGGAAAAACAATATACACAGCCTAAATGGGAAATCATTGAAATTTCTCCCTCTGTTTTGTTTTTTACTTATATTGTATTAAATGCAGTATTTTACCAACTATCCAATGTGTTTACTCAATGCCAAAAATAGGTAGGTTTAAAAAGTACAGACATATACAAGTACAGTTTTTTTATTTTACAGTATAGATTACAGTTAGTAGAGGAATTAACCATTATGCTTGAAAATAACTGTAAGAAATAGCTTTGTCAGACTGAAAGAACTCTGGCTATCAAATAATGTCATCACATTATTTTTACTGTTATAAAATTTACCACTGGTTGTTGTCACTTGCTTACTTTTATAAAGTCCATTGCCCATATTGGTTCTTAGAGAAATGTCTACCTTTCAGAAGCAATATGTAACTTTTTTATCCTTTTCCAGGATATGGAAAAATGAAATAAACAATACAAATACTTTCAGAGTTTTACCTCATCCTTCTTTTGTTTACACGGCTAAATTCCACCCAGCTGTAAAAGAGCTGGTGGTTACAGGATGCTATGATTCTGTGATACGTATATGGAAAGTTGATATGAGAGAGGATCCTGCCATGTTAATCCGACAGTTTGACGCTCACAAGAGTTTCATCAACTCTCTCTGTTTTGATATTGAAGGTATGTCCAAGAATATATGCCAGTTGAAGGCTAGTTACATGAAGAATTTTGAAAAATTTTCTGTTTCACTAGGATAATAATTATTTAAGCTTGAGGGTGACTTTATGTATCAGATAAAATTAAATATGTTTGTGCATATTTTGAAGATCATATGATAGACCTTGGCACTGAGGGAATTGTTAGTTAATTTTGAAGTCAGTAAATTTCTAAACACTTTGATTCAACTAATCTTTGCTGTAACAACCAGTCCTGTTCCAAATTGCAAAATATATTTCATTGGATTGGTGATTATTCCCTTAGTAGGTTTTTTAAAGGGCCGTTTTATGTAAAGGGTAAAAATGAGGAAGATGGGGGGTGGAAATCCCAGAGGAATATTGAAAATATATATTTTAAATGTAGCAACAGGATTTTTTTTTAAGTACAGAAACATATAGAAGGGAGATTTGCAATTATTTAAAGGTTTAATCTTAGAATATGAGTATTATGGATAGTGTTTAAAGGACATAAAATATAGGTTATTTTGTCAGCTGGAATAATAAAGAAATTCATTATTAAATAGTCACCTTTTCTATTATTTCACATACTAGGTGTGTATAGCTATAATAAATTGGTATGGGATCCAGATCAAAATGATAATACTGCTAATGTACTCAGTTCAACCATAAGGATGTTTATAAGTAGGAACACATTCAGGAAAGGTCAACCAAGGATAGAAAGGTGTCTGAAAATTCTGTCATAATAGAAGTAGCTCATAAAAGAGAGATGAAGAATTTCTTCAAATATTTGGTTAAGATGTGGAAAAAAAAGAAGTCCTTCTACGTCGCTCTGTAGGTAGAAGTAGGGCCAAAGCTGCAAGAAACAGATTTTCTTTGCTTAGAATTAGAAAAAACATTCTGATATACAGAGCATTTCATCAGTTGAATAAGCTACTTTTGTGTAAAATATTACATTCACAGTTGCTGAACAACCATCTGTTCATAATGGTTTGTAAGATATTCCTGACGGGTTATGAAGTTGAATCTGATGATCTCTGAGGTCCCATTCAGCTGTAAGATGGTTTGACTCTAAGAAATGATGCTGAACTGAAGCACCTGTTATTTATTAATTTATTCATTCCCTGGTCATTTTTTGAGTTCCTACCAGGTCTCAGGTATTATGCTAACAGTATATATTAGAGTATAGGTGTTTTTCCAGGAATATAAAATAGATTATATAGGTTAATAAAGGTGAGCAATACAGATCGTATTGGATATTTCAAATAATTTGTTTAGCTTTGGAATTTGAGCCACATACACATAAACTGAGATGCTCATTTCTTTTTGTATTCAAATTCAGGTAGGTGACAAAGGGAAATAAATCATCAAAAATAATTCAAAAGGGTGAAGAATTCATTTAAAGATAGTTGGGATCTGATTGTTTGCCTTTTGGACTTTTTAAAAACTGTAATGCCTTTTACTAGCCCTTCAATTCTTTGTTTTATTGGGATGTGTTTTCCCAATTTCATAATATTTGTTTCAACCTCTCTGTGACATTTATACGTAAATAATTTTATTTTTTTTAAATAGGTCATCACATGTATTCAGGAGACTGCACAGGCGTGATTGTTGTTTGGAATACATATGTCAAAGTTAATGATGTGCAACACTCGGTGCGTCACTGGAGTGTAAATAAGGTATAGAGCCATTTCATATTTGGCGATTTAATTAAAGAAATGGGGGAAAAAAATTGAACCGCATGACTTTAAGATGTCAGGACAGATTCACTTTGTTATAAAGCAGAAACTAACACACCATTGTAAAGCAATTATACTCCAATAAAGATGTTAAAAAAAAAAAAAAAGATGTCAGGACATTCCGTTCGTTCTTTTCAAAGAAATTAAGTTTTTCTCAGTCCCTGAGAAGTCAATTATCATGTCTTCCTGATGGCTAATTGATAATATAGTGACGTAGTGAAATTTTCTTCATTTTGGCCAGGCTTTTGTTTCTTTTTTTTTTGAGCCCTAATTTGCCCTGTGGTATTCAGGGATCCATTACTGAAATTTATGCAAAATGAGGTATATGTTATATCACCATCTATACATAATAACTTGTATTTTCGCTATTCATATTATTTTTTTCTTGGTCTAATAACATCACTAAAAACACTGTGCTCAAGGTTTTGTTAACAGTGCTATCCCTCAAAATTATGTGATCAAGATTATACAAGTATGAGAGGGCCTATCATTTAATCACAGTAATTGTTTCATTTGAGATATACTAAATTGGCAGAAACAAATGAATGATCTCATTTTTGAAGCAGAGTGTTTTAAAGATGGCTTGTATACCAAGCAACTTTGTTGGTGCATATTTAGTATGTTTAAGTTAAAAATACAAAATGAATCATTAAACCTGAGTTGTTTTTATATGTATTGATATAATTTTTGTCTTACATGCTATACCTGTGTTCTTCAGTTTTGTTCTTCTTCATAATAGATTATAATTGTCCCTGTTTGAAAAAAAGACATTCTACATGAAAAAGAATTTCCAGGAACTTTAGTTAAATCTGTTGAGTCTGTCAGATCTGTTTAAAAACCAGTCTATTCTATTTTTAGTCATTCTCATCTAGTCTGTCAGATTAATGAATGATGGTTTGGGATTCATGTTGTAGCCTAATTTCACACACTTCGAAAAGAACTTTCTAATTACTTATATATTGATACCTAAAGGATTGGCAAGGCTCCAAAGGCACCATTTCTAATCACTTGAGTCTACAATGCAGAGTGTATTATCTGTATTAAAAATCATGTGTTTCTTTACCTCAATATAGTAACCAAAAGGCAAATATACCTTGGAAATCTGCCTCCTGGTGGTTACTTGAGACAGTCGAAAATAGAAAGTTAGGAAATGAGCTGGGATGTCTTTTTAGTAGCTTATGTCCTAGGACAGATGGGAGACTGCGATTTCTTACTTGGTTCTCTTCAACCAGCAGTGGGGGGAAGGATGCTGGGTTATACACATCTGTCCCTTAAGATGAGGTGTCCATGTGCTGTTGCACACACTCCTTGGTATAGCGCGTGGTCTTTAGAACTAGGGCTTGAGCATGAATATGATAAAAATATGAAGGAACTCATTAACAGATACTACAAACACTGAATCTACTAGCAGCTTTCTCAAACCTGTACCTAACACTTAACTTGTTATGCAGCCTTGGTTTTGATTTTGCACATTTGCATCTGTGTAAGTGGTGCTCCAATTGCTCACACCTCCAGTAGTGCATCTCCACCTCCAAATCGTTGTAGCTGGGCTCAGTAAAATCCCCATCTGTGGTATCAGTATTTGACTTTATTCTGTAACTTGTAAAAAGCTGACAGCAGGTTTTAGCACCAAATAGCGGTAGGAGGGGCTCAGCTGCTGGTACTAGGATTGTAGCAGTTTGTACCCCACCTCAGCTGGTGCCAACCCACCTCTGAAGAGGAGACCCTCTAAGAGAAGCGAGCAAGAATAATAAGGGGTCCTCGAGGGAGAAGAAGGCTAATTCAGAATTCTGCCTACAGGTTAAAGCAGACCCTCTCTTGACTCTTGACTTTAGTTTAAGCAGTTTTGCATTTGCAGTTTTTTTCTTTCTCCTGGTAATGGAAACAAGAACCTTTGGAAATTGTCCTTATACACGGCTTGTTCAGGCAGATTCTCCTTCGGTGTTTGTGTCTTTCTTGACATCGTTAATCAGGTCTACTTATAGTCTTCTTCTATAAGTAGAAGATTTAGCTGCCTTAAGTATCCAAACAAAAAAAATTACAATCTAAACTAAGTTATTTCAGAATAAGATGCTGATAATTTACCTTTTTCAGGACAAGTGGAAATAGATGTATGGAGAAATAATCTGAGACTGAAATAGAACTTGAGCTAATTCTATACTTAATTTTGAATTTATAAAAATTGGAAAGTTTCTTATCTGATGATAAACAGAAAGTGTAGTGTTAGAAGATGTGTTTGTAGAAAGTGCTTCTTGTTTGGGAATATACTACAAAAACAATAATTAAATATGGTGTTACATAACAACCAAAAAATACATTTTAGCAGCTTTATTTTCGTCCTTAACCTGAAGTTACTTGGAATAATTTTGCTAACAATTTTAAAACATCCTGTATTGTGCAATTGAAAATGACATCTTAAAATTAAACTTGTACACTTAAAAGGGCTTAACTTTAGACAAACTTTACAGTGGTAATATTTTATAATCTTTTTTAAAATCATTTTAGGAAATTAAAGAGAGTGAGTTTAAGGGGATTCCAATAAGTTACTTGGAGGTTCATCCCAATGGAAAACGTTTGTTAATTCATACCAAAGACAGTACTTTGAGAATTATGGATCTCCGAATGTAAGTATATTTCAGTATTTGCAGGTTAAGTGCTCATAGAATAAGTAATGATTTAATTCATATTTATAAAGTGCAGCCGTGGTTCTCAACTAGAGAATTTTGTCCCTCAGGGGACCTCTGGCAGTGTCTAGAAACACTTTTGAATGTTTATTCCAGTATCTGGTGGACAGAGACCAGAGATATCACTGAGCATCCTGCAGTGCATGAGACAGGCCTCTGCAACAATTATCTGACCCAAAATGTGAATAGTTCTTAGGCTGAGATGTAGTCTATTGTTTTTTATTTTCACAATAAAAAGAAAGAAACTACTGCCATCAAATATCTTTTATCTCTATGATATTGGTTTAACATAGTATTAATCTACTATCATGCCTGAATGAGAGGGCTTTTGATTCATACATCCTTGTTTTTCCTTTTTGTTTTGTTTCTAAAAGAGGCAAATGAAAAGAGATATTCTTAATGTAAAAGGCAGAAGCAGAGTTCTAGGAAAACCAGCATGGACTTCTGGTGTGCTTTGGTTTTGACATTAAAAGTTCCTGTAAAACAAATGAAAGAAAGCTATTTTATTAAATTTCGTTATTGTATTTAGGAAGGCAGATGTGGTAATCCAGGTTAGTTTATTCTGCAGTCATCACTTTAGGGCTAACCATTAAGCCCTTCAGTATTTATGTAGAACTGTTTGAGACACTGGCATGGGTGCTGTAGGAGAATGATAAACAGCATTTGTTCATCAGGAATTTATAATCTAGTTGTACTACCTCCAAAATAACATAGGAAACACTTAGGCTACATTGTGAGATCTTCAAGGACTGGAATCTGCTTATTCTTTTTTTTCTATACATTGTACCCACGTCATACCTAACAGATAGCAAGTACTCAATAAGTATTTTTAATGAGTATAAATACATAATAAAAGGATTGTATTTTTCATGGCAACGGTAAAGCTGATAGCTATAATATAGTCTTCTGTTAAAGGCTCTGTGGCAAGACTGGTCTTTGAGCTCAATCTTGAAGGATGGGTAGAATTTAGACAAGATGGCAGTGTCCTCACTAGGGTGGAAAACATGAAAAGCCTGGAATAAAGTTTGGAGGTAGAATAATAGAAGCTGTATTCAGGGCAGAGTGAGTTAGTCTGTATGAGCATGGGTTTCTTGCTAAGGAATGCTGAGAGAGAATCTAACAGAAATTAGAGCCAGACTTTAGAAGACCAGGCCTGCAGAGTTTGTTTGTTCTCTTTTTAAGCAGTATAGTATTCAGCCTATGATCATGCTTGGGCTCTAGAAGAAAACTGCTTACAGTCAGATACTGCCTGTTCCCTTACTAGTTGATTAATCTCCCTGTGTCTCCCTTTCCTCATCACTCAAATGGAAGAAATAATATACCATCCTCATAAGTGTTTTGTGAGGAATAAACTAGTTTATACATGTAAAGTACTTAAAACATTAACAGATATAGCAGAAGTGTTTGACCCAGTAACCTTAGGTTTAGTTATTTATGTTAAGAAAATAATTATGAGGCAGTGCAAAAATATATATATACACAAGGTTGTTCACAGAAAGCATATTCATGGTAGGGGAAAGCTGGAAACATCCTAAGTGTTATCCAACAATAGAAAATTTCTTAAGATACATTTAGACAATGATATAGTATATGCCTATTAAAATGATAATGTGTAATCTTTATTTTCTGACATGGTGGCCATTATTCATGACTCATTGTTGACTGAAAAAAGCAGATAACAGAGCAGTATATGTAATATCTTCTCTGTAAACCAGGGATGATAATAGTACCTACCTGGCACATAATAAGCACTAAAACAGTGTTAGCTGTTATTATTCATAAGTTAAAAAGCCTGGAAGGTTATATACCATATTTAATAGATGATTCAATAATGTTTTGTCTAATACTTCTGCAATGATCAAGTATTCATTGTTTGATTTTAAAACTTTATCACATGGAGAAAATATAAGAATATAAAAATTCTGTTCATTTTTTTAGTAACCAATACAAATGCTACTTCCAAAGTAGTCTTTTGCTCCATAGCTAGAAATCATCTCTCCTATCCAAATCTGAAAAGTACTCCTTCTGTTCTTTTGTGGCACTTTCTACATCCACTTTCTATTTTACTTTAATGCATTTCTTCTCTCTCCTGCTAAATTATAAGCTCCCTGAGCTCTGGGATTATCTCTTCTTTATTCTGCATCCATCATAGAATGTATCCTGCATGACAGATTCTCACAAGTTGTTTGTTAAATGCAAATGAAGTATTTAAAAGTTTTCCTACCACCAGTCTTTTAAATGGGTAGGACAGGTTTCATTTGTAAAATCTTTTTGGTTCCTAGATTAGCAGCAAGGAAATTTGTAGGTGCAGCAAATTATCGAGAGAAGATTCACAGTACTTTGACACCATGTGGGACTTTTCTCTTTGCCGGAAGTGAGGATGGTATAGTATATGTTTGGAACCCAGAAACAGGTAAATAGTATTTCATCGAACTTAAACAGTTTTTTTGTTTTGTTTTTGATGAAGTATAAAAACTACAATTTTATGGTGTAATTTTCAAGGAAATTCTGATTTCAGATTCTCAGTTATGTTTTTCAAAATTGGAAAGCTGATAATGGAATTCAGCTGCAGTCTAAATTTATATTAAATTCTGTTCTTTATGGTTTTGATATCTTCATGGATTTAGAATTTCACATTGTAATTCAAGGTTTATTCTTTCCTTGCTGGTAATGAGATATTGTTGAACTTAGAGAAGTGTTTAATGATGACTGTAATACAAAACACAGTATTATAAACTGAATTTAGAGTACAACTAGGTATACAAATGGTTAACCATCTACATTTTTATTAGAAACAAACATACTCCTGTCAGTTTTGGATGTCTGAAACTTAATAGCAGTTTTACTGTAATTCAGGTTTGTTTGTTCTTGTTTTTTTTTGTGGTACGTGGGCCTCTCACTGTTGTAGCCTCTCCCGTTGCGGAGCACAGGCTCCGGACGCGCAGGTTCACCACCCATGGCTCATGAGCCTAGCCGCTCAGCGGCATGTGGGATCCTCCCGGACCAGGGCACAAACCCATGTCCCCTGCATCGGCAGGCGGACTCTCAACCACTGCGCCACCAGGGAAGCTCTGTAATTCAGTTTTTTTTCAATAACATAAGCTATTATATTGGGCAATTCATTTGTGCTCACCTTGCTTTTTAAAAGAAAAGCCAAAACTACATAAACATTTTTTTTTAGCAGTAGAAAGAATTTTATAAAAGTTACTTTAAAATTTCTTTAAGGAGAAGTATTTGACTTCAGCTTTTTATTTTCTTCATCTTTCCCTTTAGGCATTTTTGACTAGTCAGTTCACTTATAGTTTTTTTTTTTTTTCTTACTATATTTTGATACTTCAGCATCAGTTCATAAGTGTTCATAAATCTCTTTTCCCCAGCAATCCGTGGAACTGGATTCTTTGCTTTTTGAGTTCTGATTTTCAAACTTAAACTTCTGCTGTAGGCCTCTTTTAGTCATTAATTGTCATATGCATCTTTAAAGCAGATGGTACGTCAAACAGCCTCTGGAAGAAAAATAGAAAAAATTAATTCCTCACTAAACCTCTCCCAACCAGAGTTTCTTTAGTTTTAATCCTGACATTCCTCCCCTAGTTCTCCCTGGAGTTCTTTGTTAGTTGCCATTTGCTCAGCTCTGTCAGATCTCAGAGTCAGGTCTCTCTACTTCCAAGCTCTTTGTCTTTACTTCGTGCCTTGAATACCTCCGTGAAGAGGTTGGACTGAGAAGTAGAAAAAGGAGGACCAACAGAATGAAAAATAAAGATAATTATTTAATATAGTGGTACTCAAATATTTATACGTTTTAAAGGTGTTTATATAAATAACGTGAGCTTTATCATTACTTACTATAAATCTTTTTTAATAAGCTACAGAGTAATCTTCTAATGAGAAGTATCTGAGATGGTACAAATTATTGAATGTCTTTTCTTATTTAGGAGAACAAGTAGCAATGTATTCTGACCTGCCATTCAAGTCACCCATTCGAGATATTGCTTATCATCCACTTGAAAATATGGTTGCATTTTGTGCGTTTGGGCAGAATGAGCCAATTCTTCTATATATTTATGATTTCCATGGTAAGTCCACCACTTGATAAGAGGAGAATATTTAGAGTAACCTTTACATTTAGACTGAACCGGAAATTATGAACTCTGTGAAAACTGTCATCCTTTGTATTAACAAAGCTCTCTTGAATATACTATGAAAGCCAAGCAACTTAAAAAGATCATATTATTATTATAACATTTTATTTTTCCATGAGCACTCTTATTATGGAGTTTAAATATCAAAAGTACACATAATGGTTGTGCTCTTACGTTGTAATCACAGAAAGGTAGTCATCACTTCCTTTGTAAATCAATTTAAATAAATAAAATTCACCTAAAAATTATTTGGGAATATGTCTAAATTAAAAGATAAATAACATTTAGGAAATATGGATCTGTAATGTTTTTAGTTGAATATTGAGTTAATTTCCTATTTGTTTTTCTTTTTTACCAAAGCACATAGTTTAAATAAGTTGTAATTTTGAGAGTTTCTTAACATAAAAGAAGGCAAAAAAATCAAGTGTCAATGAAAATGAGATCTGGAATTAGAAATCTAACGTCTTTTTCTACACTAAAATTACACTATTCTATAAATTTGGAAAATAATAAGGAAATAAAGACTTTGGACACATTTTTCAGAAATAGTATGGCATTATTAGAATTATCTGGATTTATGCTATTTTTCATATATTTCTTTAATTTTTGTCCTGAAATTAGGATTTCATTGTTCTGCATGGTACTGATAGTGCTGACACTCTCAAAATTGCAGTTCTATTTTTTCATATATTAATTATTGTACAAAAATAAATGGTTTTTATTACTCTCTGCTTTGTTTATAATATCATTCACTGTTTTTGCTAAGCTAAGATGGCTTCCACACAATGTCATAAATGCATAAATATGCAAATATGTATACAGGTAACATTGCTGTGGAACTATCTAGACAGAGTGTTTTAAGTTAATGAAATGCAAGTGGTTAAGCTTACTGCATTAATACAGTGTGAATTGGTTAATGTTTGTGATAAGTGCTAAGTGTTAGACAATTGAGTTAAGCTCTAAACCTGAAGTTCTTGATCATAGTATGGATTTTATTATGCCTTTACAGGTGAATTATATTAGAAAATAATGTGTAAAATTGAGATTTATCCTGTTTTAAAGAATTTTACAAAGAATAAATAATAAATTTCTCTGACACATATTCAGATTTACAGAACAGTATTACTGATGGTGGAACTGTTAAACAACAAAATACCACTTACTATTACAAACAAATTTAGCAAAAGTAAACACTGCCTGACTATGGGAAAAGACAAGTGGATTTCTCAAATCATCCAGCGTCCAAGTTTGTTGTCTAGTTCAAACATATGTCCTGAAACAGGTCTCTCTTTTATAAACTTTAAATCTTCACAGAAAGAAGAGTTATACCTATTTACTTTGTAATGGGAGCTGTTATATAGGAAATAGGCACTCAATTTCCTCAAACTCTTCAGAAGTTTCACCACAGTTTTCATTGAATTTCTATTTTGCTTTTTAGGCTTTTGAAATTTTCACTACAAACTGCAGTTGAAAGCTCCAGTCTCACCTTTTTTCTTTAGTTTATTTTTTGTCTTTGATAGAAGTTCATCAGTAGATTAGACCAGTTAGGTTTGTCCATTTGGCTTTGTGACAATAGACATTTAGACTAAGAAGTCCATTCTAGAAGCATAAGTAGAAAGAGCCAAGTGTTTAGGAGTTCAAAAACATTTAGTTTTAGGCTCAGTTCTGTTTCTTTAGTGGCCTTGCACAAGCCTCTTGCCTTCCTGAAGCTCCATTTCCCTATCTAGTAAATGGTCCTACAACCACTAATATCTGTCCTACCTAAGAGATTTTTTTGCGAGGGTGCTATGAGACAGGGACTGTGAAAGTACTTTGTAAGTTGATACGCACTATACTAAAACAAAAAAGATAAAGTGGGTTGTTACCGTGCTCATCCAACCTGTATACACTTGACTCTATGGGAACTTATGTTTTAATATGCTCTCTCTGTGTGGAATGAAATGGAAAAAAAGGTTTTTTTCCCTTTCTTTCACTCTTTCTGTTAGTCAGCCTTTTCCTTTTATTTATTAGAGTGTGTACCTTTCTAGGTCAGTTGTATTAGAAAGTAAATGCATAAAGTTAAGAACATTATGTTATGCCCACAGTATCTTAATGTAAATGAGGGATTTCCATGAGTGTTTTAGAAATTTAAACGTTCAGTTAATACACATATTAAATAAAAATATTTTGTGCAGTGTATTTAGAACACAATTTTTGATATACTAACACACCTTTACAAACAAAACTCAAAATGTTTCAACACATTTTCCCAACTCTTTGCTGCCTATTTTTAAAAAGAAGCAGTTTAGGAAAAAGTTATGTGATCTCAAGCAATCCAAGATTTAGCACAGTTCTTGTGAATGTTATATAACCATGAAAAAATGAAAAGTTGTTTCAGACTCTAAAATATTTTGCTCATTAAATACAGGCCAGAACCATGAAGTCTTTAAATTTTTTCAATGAAAATTATAACATTTATTACTGACCTTTGCCTTATATTTTATTTATCTTTTAACACAGGACTATTTTGCTCACACTTTCTTGTCTGAAAATAAAGCTTATAAGTAGTTTTACATAAATGTTTTAATGGTAAAAAATTTGAAAGATACAAAACAGTTACGTGAGTTTTTAGATAGTATTTATCAGAGCAGCTGATACACTTAGGCAATTTTTAAGGAAAATGGAGCGAGCTCATTTCTTTTAATCAGTTAAATAAGCTGTGAATGAGACCGCAGTGGTAGCTAAATGTATCATCCATCTTTCAGTTCTAGCAAAATCTGTGAAGAGTCAGCAAGCATCTTTCCCTGTTAAGCATGTGTTCAGGTTGTGGTCTTTTGGGTCTTTCATTCTACTGACTTTTTGCTTTTTTTGGTAAGAAATATGATTTTTACTTTCAGAAGGCAGTTTTATTTGCCTGATGTTGAAAGGGTTAATCATCTAGTAATACAAAATTTAGTCACAGTGTACCACAAATAATGTGCTTTTAGGATTCCCATAATAACAGAGTACTAGTCAGAAACGGCTTCTAATGAATTAAATGTATGAAGCTAGACTTCAGCAATTAATGTTCTGTTATTAATCAATCTCTAGGATCCTGTTCTACATGTAATGATAATTATGTCTAATACTTACAAAGCATTTTCCATGTTCCTGGTACTATTTTGATACTTGACCCATATTTTTTAAAGTTTTCACAGTAATCTTATGAGATAGGTATTATAATTATTCCCATTATGGGAGCCAGGACTTGGATCCATACAGGCTGGACTTGGAGTCCATGCTCTCATTTGCTACACTAAACTGCCTTTTTAGCAGATTTCCTGAAATATTAGTTTTTGATTGTCTAATATGCAAACTTTTTTTTTCTACAAAACTATTTATTCTATGCCTCTCTGTGGAGTATGCAGTTTCTTTATATTGTCTATACTTTGTGGGAAGCAGAGTTGGAGGCTTATTTGTCTTTTTATTACTGGTACCTAGTCTGAATACTGGCACATATTGAATATACGTGTAGTATTTTAAGCAGGATCAAGTCTTAATTTGGGAAGTTCTCAGCATTATACGGTAATCCCAGGTAATGAGCCTAATTTTTCACTAGGTGGCAGTATCTCCTGTGAATCAGCATTAACTCTGGAGTGCTTTTCAGTCACAGTGTTTTACGTAAAACAAATCTTCATTGAGCACTTATTGTGTGCCAAGTTGAACAGTGCTGTGAAACCCAGGAATCAGAACCATGCTCTTTTCCAATCTTTTGTGCTTCCTAAGTAGTTAATTAAACCTCTGGGAGAATTTTAGTTAAACTGAAAAGCAGTCTACCATTGACACTAAACATGATTTTATTTATAGGACTCGTATTTATTAATGATCAGCTGCATCGTCATTGTTAATAGGTTTATTTTTCACATTGTGACATGTTTTACCAGAATTCAGAGCAATATATACCTTTACATTCCTATATAACTTGCTCAGTACCAAAAAGCCCATGGTGTTTACAAGGCCCTATGTCTAACATCCTACCTGTTATATTACTGATGTGCAATAAATACTTGAAATAAGAATTTAAAATCCCATAGAATAGCATTTTCCCCTTACATTTTATAAAAATATAGAATGAAAGGCATGATCAGTTCGTAAATTTGGGGCTAATAATGATAGTGGTAGTAGTAGTAGGTAATATTTATCAAGTATTTATGCTATCAAGCATTTATTTATTTATTTATTAAGTATCCCCTACTCTCATGAGTATTTTACATGCATTTTCTCATACAGTTCTCCCAAATCCCCACAAGACAGTTGCCATTATTATCCCCATTTTACAGATGAAACTGAGGCACAGGGAGCATGAAGTAATTTGCCTGAGGTCACACAATTGGTAAAATGACAACACTTGCCAGGCTGTCTGACTCCAGAGCCCATGCTCTTAAAACATTAAGCTATCTGCCACAGCTACTTATTTAGTCTTTGCATTTCCTATTTCATGAAGTAACTTAAGAAGGTAGCCAAATATACCTGTGGTGAAATGTAGTGTTTGTTTTCAATTTTAATATTTAGGAAGACCCCTTAAGAGTAAAAGGAGCTTTGGTTGTCTGGTATCATTATTAATTGTTCACTCCTTTACAAATGTTGGAGGTAATTATAATGCATTAAGCCATTATATTCTCAATATAGTCCAAAATATGATTTTTCTTTATGTAATATCAAATTTTAATGTAACTACTTTTACAATATTTTTGCAATAAGGTAATGTCTAGTTGAAATAAATTTAACATCTGTAGTTGTCTCTATAATTTAATGGTGTTCTTGAAGTACTAATTATGACTGATTCAAAAGCAAACTGAGATGTTGTAATCCTCATACTTGGATAAGACTAAGCAGTAACATATATAACTGATTGTAGGTTAGAGTTTTAGATATCTATTATTAGCTTAGTAGGAGAAATTGAGATAGAAATGCCA